GTTACATACTGCAGCTTTAAATCTTAGCTGTCTGTAAAAACAACTGTAAAAATCTTAGTTTTACAGGAAAACCATTTATCTGCCGTCATCAGTGGAGATGCTAACTAGCCTTAGCTTTGTCTGTCACATTCTGTCACGACATGGTGACAATAGAAAAAACTGAATTTTTTTATAAAGCAGCTTTAAATGAAAGGAAAACACACCAATGTGGGCCAGCAGTATCCAGGTTAGTGAAGAAAACTCCCAACAGCTCGAATATGAAGCGCTAGCTGCTAGCATCGGTTAGCGAGGGCATCAGTCTCCCTCCTGGCTGTCTGCGAGCCTCCGATCAATAGACCCAGATTATCATCTTCAGCATCTCGGCTCATTCCTCACTGCAGCTGAAGGCTCCACCGGCTGCTCGCTCTTTGTCAGAGGATGTTCACCCATCTGATAAGATTTACTGAACCAAACGCCGCAGCTGGACGCACATTCACGACCCGGTCCGGCTTCCTCCCGCCCCCATCTCTTCATCAGGGAATGTTTATTTAACAGAGCTAGTCGGTACAACAGTCACGGAGTCCCATGACTACCCATGGCTAATTAAATCTTTAATTAAGATGGCGGTTTTTAATTAAAAAGTTTATTATTTTGAAGTGGGGATTATTGGCGAATGAATTAGCTTGGGCTATCGCTGAATACAATCCATGCATTATGATTGAGATGGGATTTTATGTTGTTTGTTCATGCAAAGGAGGAGGGAAAAAATGAAACGAGGAAGAGTTTAGAGTGAATGTGAAGCTGCTGGGCAGTCGGTGTTCAGCCCTCCGGAGATCCACCGGAGTCGTCTTGGAGTGGGAGCGTTGGTTTTTAATCTGGAGGATCAGGCCGGCTCTGTGATTTAGCGCACGGCGAACCGCGGACGCCTTTCGTCTCCAACTGGCCGGCTTTGATTGGTATCAGTGTCAGGGGGTTTTAAAGCGACGACACAGATCCGATAAATCCTGTTAGATTGCTTCCTCGTCTATGACCAACAAAACTCCGAAAAGCTGCTATTAGTGTCGGATCTTTCTCACTAAAGTTTGTTTTCCACCAAGACGTGTCCGATTTTAACTTTTTGTGAAATATGGAGGTTTTATTGATCTGAGATCAAAGTAGGACAGATTTACAGAAATCACATGTTCTTTTCAAACAACTTTTACTGGAGCTTTTTATCTTTTCCTGAAAATTACCTTATATCTGCGTATTTTTAAATAAAAGTTAGCTGTTAATCTCACAGATTTCTTCCTATTTTTGCAGTTTTTTGTCAGTTAAATGTTTCAGATCTTCAAAGTTAAAACAAACTGACTCAGCAACAATTGTTCTTGATTTTTTTTGTATAAAAAATAGACACTGCAGCTTTAAAGTGTAACTAACCTCTCTGTAAAACTGAAGCTGTAATTAAACTTGTTAATGTCGTCCTGTTGGCTAGTGAGTCTCCTGCTTCCCTCTGCCAGAAAACTTTATTCCTTTCTTATTTCTCGTTCAGCAGAGTGAGGAATTATGAGCCGAACTCCACGATAAACACCACAGTGTTTCGGTTAGTTCATTTGTTCCTCCCGGTCTCTGTTTGGAAACTCATTATTAGAGCCAAACAATATTTCACTACGTCAAAATAATTAATTGCATCAAGATCTGCTGCTTGCCTCGTCTTCAGGTTGTAGAAAAGTTAATTGGAGCGGCTCCGTTTGCTTTTAATGATCACTAATTTACCGGATTATTCACACTTTTCAGCATTTTACAGGAGAGGATTAGGGCCAGTAAAAAAATAAGGAATCCTGAGTTTAATCTCAGAATTTCAACTTTTTCTCTCTGAATTTTTACTTTTATCTCAGAATTCTGACTTTGATTTTTCCAAATTTTTATTTCAATTTCAGAATTCTAACTTCTTTCTCAGAATTATGAGTTTAATCTCAGAATTGTGACTTTTGATCTCGGCACATTGAATTTTTTTTTCAATGGTCTTCCGTAGCCTTTTCATAGAAACGACCCAGAACCCTTTCAGTTTGGAGGAAGAGAAAAGCGTTTTATTCTCGTTTTAGCCTCTTTAAATCCCGGCGCTTCACGCTGCGTTGGATCTCGGCTCTGCAGCGAAGCGTCGGCTCGCGGTCAGCAGCATTTCATCTCCTCAAAGCTCTTCCTTCCTCCTCCGGACACGGCCGACCGCAGCTCAGGCCTCGCCGTGCGACCTTTCACCCCTGCGCCGTAGCAGACACAAACTGAGTCGTTTGCTGACCTTCCAGCCGGCTCTCTGGGGTTTTCGGTTGCCGCTGCTCTGCAGCACTTTGTCAGGACGGGAAACGTCCAACCCGTCTGGACGCTTCGGGTCGGGAGGTAGTGAAGATTACGGGCTGAGAGGCGGCCATCTTTCATCTAACAGACGTCACACTTGCATCCAGACAAATTGCTGCACCTTTTCTGTCTCCGACGGTCTCAGTCTGTTTGCATGTCCGTCGCTCTGACCCGTCCGGTTGGACCCGTTGGGTCGGCAGCGCTCTGCGGACATGACCGGGTCCCACCTCTGGTTTCTGCCTTCCTGCTGCCTCTATTCGTTTTATGAGCAATGACATTACCTTAGATAGTAACTAGTTACATTTACTTTGAAAAAAATATTCTGGGTGTTTTTATTACGCTGAACTTTTTACTTTGAATTTGAAATTGACTTGAGAAATTGAACATTTCTGGATTTTCTTCCCACTGAATGAAAACCAAACATGTTTTAACCAGAAATTCACCAAATCAGACACAAACCTTCAGTTTCTGTTCAAGTTTCATTCGTTTTTAATTAAAAGAAACTGATTTGGAAACATTTTGTCTGATTTTACGTTTTTTTATTGGTATGAATTATTGTCATTTTCATTCTTAAAATGCCAAAGTTTCCACTTGACCTTATATTCTGGTCCATCTGCTGATGTAATTTTTAAATATTACATTTTTATTTATTTTCCATTTATTTTTCTCCCAGTTGAACAAATTAAAGTTGTTTTTACAAGTTTATCTGTGTATTTAAGTTTGCTGCAATGGTGCAGAGTTGACAGATATAATTGTAATTCAGTACGTTTGTGTTTCAAAGATATATATATTTTAAGTCAATCAGCTGTTTTTCTGTCGGATCGACTGAATCTACAGCTCAAATATACAATTTGGAAGTGAAAAAAGTTTATTTTCTTTCTAAAATGCGTTTCAACTAATAATCATCTTTCCAAGATGTTGTGATGTTTTATTCTGTTAAAATTACTGATTTTGTGGCACCTTTTCCAAAAAATTGTAGTCAGCTACACATTTTTTAAGCTTTTTTTTTTCACAAAAAAGTTTAAATCACTGCAAATCTTCTTTAAAATATTTGGAAATTAATATTATCACAACATCTTTAAATAAATGTTAATATTCCTGGCAATGACTAACCAGCATTATGATCTCCTAAACAGGAAGTTAAAGGCCGACATACTGATGTCCTGAATTCATTCAGTCTTTGGAGTTTTTTCTTTCTCGGAAACGTCCCCTGGTGTCCATTAGCGACCTTTGACCTGTAAAGTTTTCCCTTCAAGCCGAATCCCTGGGAAAGAGATGCAGACTCGACCTTAAGAGTTTCGGAGACGTTTCCCAGGAATTTCCTGGCAGCGGTTAGGAAGTTAAAAAGTCGACGTGTGACTCCGATTCGCTGTTTTTATTCACACATCCTGGCACTTTGCTTCATTCACGGCCAGAGAGAAACAGGAAAACCTGGTAATTTACTCAAAACAACGAGGTGTGAGCTGAAATATGATGATAAAATAAACATGTCGGTCCAAATCCTCATGTCTACAAGCAGGTGGAAAAGTTGGAAATGTTTATTTTAGTGCAGAAAACATTAAAATAACATTATAATGTTGATAAAGAGCAGAATAAAAAGTATAACACTTATTTTAGCATCTTTAAAATTTGATTAAATTAACTTACTGGAAAACATTGCTGGTAAGACTTTTTAGTTTTGCAATTTATCATAAAATTACTAATTTATTCTCTGAATATTCAGCTTTGTCCTCTTTAATTTATTCTGGTATTTATGTTCTTGTTTTATTAGGACTTTTAATTCTCGCATTATTACACCGTTATTCTTATATTATTACTTTATTCTGTAATTATGACTTTATTTTTCATATTACAATTATGACTTTATTCTTTTAATATTATTAATATAATCTCAAATTAAGAGACATCTTCCTCTGGCCTTAATCCTCCATCGTAGTTCACTGACTAAACTAAGGAAAATTTACGGGTTTTTTTTATTTTTTATTATTTAATATTTTGGTTAAATATCTTTTATTATTTCACATGCAGCTGATTATTTTACCATGACTCTCAGATCAAGACCAGTTCATTTGTAGTAATTAGTGCATTAATAGTAATCAATGCAGGAAAGGTGAAGCATGAATGAGTTTCTCTTGCTGGGACAGGCGATGGAAGGCTGACTTTGTAACTGTCTTTATGTGTCCCAAAAGGCTCAGGCAACTGTATGCTGTATTTTCTTAGAATAAGTGTAAAAAGAGAACAAAACTGGGTTTTATATGAATTTATGAAAGTAGATTTTCTGCTGTTTGTCTGCGTTTCAGCATCTCTTCTGTTCCAAACATGAATTTGTTCTTGGTAGCAGGAGGAAGTGGCCCTGATGGCAGCGCCGTTTGAAGTGGGCACCGCGGGCCTGCAGCGAAGCGTTCGGTGTTCACCACCAGTCTTTGTTCATTGTTCTGAATAATACATCAGAGGTGCATTAGTTTGATTCATACTGCTGCTGGCTCTCAGCTCTGCCCTCACTTATCATATCCTCTCTGGGTTGAGTCTGCCGCCGCCTTGCCAATGTCAACAGCGCATGTGATCAATCGGCGGGCAAAGCGCGCCGGACTTTAAACAACTCCATCCTGCGGCGCTGATAGAACCGGGTCACTCGCACACAATGGCCCCTCTCACGCTCATTCATCTCTCTCTTCTTCTTCTCCTGTTAGCAACCGGCTAACTCCCAGCAACCACGACCGGATACAGCGGCTGCGGCAGGAGTTCCAGCAGGCCCAGAACGTTCCCGACGACCGGGACGATCGCAGGCGGACCTACAGCTTCGAGCAGTCCTGGGTGAGTGTCTGATCCGATCCACGTCGAGAGAGAAAGGGACGGAAACTGACCCGTACCGGTGGTGATCCCGTATCACTAACCCCACTACCACCAGCAGAGAACCAGACTTCAGGAGCGGCGCTAACCTCCACGGAGCTAATTCATTAACCGACTGCATGCCGGAGTCCATCACTAACCCCGACCCGCTCCACTCATCCGTCGTCCATTTTTTGTGTCCGTCAGTCATCCGCACAGACCTCGCCCACAACATCACAGACTGCTGGGTTGTTTTTAAACTTTTATCGGTGCCTTTTTTACACCTCAAACAGGATCCTGTGATTTTTAAGACTTGTGTTTAAATCGGCGCCTCGTTGGCCGAGAAGAGACAAGGGATGATTAGTTTGTGTGAAGCAACGAAGGGAAATCCTGAAGCGAACAAATCGCAGCGCCTCTTTTTCTTTTTTTTTTAAGGTGATGAAATGACTTGTCATATTTTTACCTATTTATTTCAGATCTCTGCTTCCTCACATTGCAACTGAAGAACAAACTGCTAAAACACACAATCTTATCAAGTATTTCTAGGAAAAATATCTTAGTAACTTTTACAAAGTTATATAAACTTGATTTAAGTGAATAATTATTGAATGCAGATGCAAAAAGTTTCATTTGACACAGTTTCATTTTTTTCACCTAAAAGAAAATGTGCCAATTGAAGTAGTACTTTTTTTAATCACTCACTTAAAACATGATTATATATTTAGCTGAAAAGTTACTTTTAAGGTAGTTTTGTCTTATTTCAAGTGTTCTAATATATTTGCACTAGAAATGCCATGTCAAGGTTTTGTGTTTTTGTTGGTTTCACATTATTTTCAGCAGCCAATCAGAACACTCAGCTGAAGATTAGATTTTAATACTTTGATTACAGTACGGATTACCACCCATACTTTCCTGGATTGTTCTAAAAAGGGAGCCGGTAAGTTTTAGAAGATATGAAGTTACTTCTAACATAGCGGCCTTGAGCTTTGCGTAGCCTGTAAGGTTCAGGAAATTAACTTATTTAAAGGTAAATAAAGTTGAAACAATTGGAAGTAAATACGTTCTATAAATTATTGATTAAAGTTCCAGAAAGTCCAAGGTTACAGATTACTGCATAATACAGCTGTATAAAGTTCTAGAAAGTACCCTATAAGTTGTAAAGGTTCGTCTTTAAGTTCTAGAAAGTATCAGAAAAGCCCCTGGTGCCCAAAAAAAAAACCTTTCTGTTTTGGGGAAATTAGCCTGAAAGATCTAGAAAGCAACTTTTAAGTCATTGAAAATATTAACTTGCACGTAATTTCATTAGTTATCCAAAAGTACTTTGTTGGTTTTATTGAAAGTACTCTGTAAATTACCAAAAGTAACTCATTTCCTGTGTGTGCCCTTTATGAACTTATAAATCCCCTCAGAAAAAGCCTGAGACCCAAAAACAGCCTGATGGTTTCAGTAAAATAAGTTCTAGAAAGTACCTGTGATCTCCAGGTTTTAGGAAAGTAACCAGGATGCTTGTATCAGTAACCTAAAGATCTATCTTGAAGTTCCAGAAAGTATCAGGTTGCAAGTTGCTTCATAAAAAATCTTGGTACCCAAAAACAACCTGGAAAAAGTAACTAGTAAGTTCTAGAAAGTATCACTTCACGCCTCACTAGACAGCCTGGTCCTCAAATGAAACATGTAAAATGATAAAAACAGCCTGTAACTCTCTGTAGGTTCTAGAAAGTAACCTGTTCAGCTGTTTTCCTGTTTTTAGCTGCTTCTCATTGAAATGAGTCAGTTTGCACGTTTTATATCTTTGCTGTACAATCGGATTAATCGACGTTCAGGGTGAAAAGGGTGGCACTAATCTCTGAAAAAGGTGTGTTGCACTTTGTGTCCTTCACAAGAACTCGCATGAAAACACTCCTGGGGATTTTGTTTTGTGCGTTTTGCTCCTGTATTTGTGGGATTCCCGCTGTGGCTTTGCAGCGCGTCTCGTTTCGGAAACGTTGAGACCTGCTGGATTTCACCCGGGCTGTTTTGCGCTCTGGTGTTGTGTAGTGTTACGTATCTTCTTGGCAGTGTTAACCTGAGGCCCGCTGTGGACGCATTCCAGCGCAGGACTGTGTGGGAAACGAGGCCGCAGGTCATCCGAGCTTTTGTCCGGAAACAACCGAGCGTGCTCTAAATTAAAATCTAGAATGTTAAACCTCACTTCCCTGCACTATTGTTATCCTGTTCATTTTCCCATGAAGACTCATTATTAGTTTTCCCACAAGAGCACCTTAAATATTTTACTTTTTTACCATAAATAAAACATGAACTATGTGAATATTAAAGCTTGTTTAATCCAAAAATAAAACTGGAAACCAGATTTCTGTTTCCCTCTAATGCTCTTTTCTTGTCCCTTTTGCTTCCAACCGGGTCGCCCGTAATAACTGCCTGTTATTGGACCGGGCCCTGGTCGTGCCAGGCGCCACATGGAAAACTTTGAAATTCAATTACCTCTCCAGGTGCACGCGTTGGATTCTGTTGCTTCATGCGAGTGATGAGGCTGAACGCCTCCAGTGACGGTTTGATTGAACTGTGTGAAGTTTGGACTCGTTAAAATACAAACGATGAAAACAAATGAAGATTTGGAAGCAGGGCACCGACTGCAGGCCGTAAAAACAGAGAGGATTTCTGTGAACCTACGGTTTCCTGCCAAAAATTAAATAAATTTACAAATTAAACGAGTCATTCCATTCATAAAATCACAGATGTGTTATTTGGCTCCTTCAAACTAAATTAAATAAATGTAAAAGAATACGTAAAAATGTAAATACATTTTTAAAACCTAAAATTTTAATAAAATGTTAGTAAATCACAGGTGGATATTCTGTTTGTCTCCTTCAGCCAAGATTAAGTAAATGAATGTATAGATAAATATAATTGAATAAAAATTGAAGAAAATAATTTTAAAACGTTTTGTTTTGTATATAACAAATATATAAATAAGATTAAATAAAAAAATTAAATCATTAAAAAAAAGTCGAACTGTTTTCCAATCTTTTTATTCCAAATATAAAATCACATCTCATTTGGTTTCTTCAAGCCAAGATTAGAGAGTTAAATATAAAAATTTAAAATATGTAAAAAAGAAAAAAAAATATTTTCAAATCTTAGCATTTTGCATATTTTCTGATTTTTTTTTTTTTAAGTCAAACAATTTTGGCTTCTAGGAGACAAAATAGATTAAATAAATATTTTAATAAGTTTAAAAATAATAGTTTTTAATATCATTTTTATTTTATTTTTTCCAGTCATAAAACCAGAGGTAGAAATGTTATTTGTCTCCATCAAACCTCCTCTGAGATCCGTCCGTCCGTCCGCTGACTTATTGTCCAATATCAGAACAAGCCGACTGCAATCAGCCGCCTCCTCTGGGTCCCTTCTGTTGTTTGGCTGAGCACCAGAGGATTGTGGGTAACGTGGTCTAATTCCATCACAGATGAGTGATGGGCGCTTTATGGCGGCCATTAAACCTCAGAGTTTAGAGGAGGCAAAACATTTTCATCTGTAGCGTTTATCAGTTTTTATTGATCCTGATCAAACATTCAGTTAAAACTGGGGTGTCCAAAGTGAGGCGCGGGGGCCTTCGGTGGCCCTTCAGGTTATTTTGTTTGGCCCCTGAGCAGAAGTCAAGAAAAATTTGGCCAACAAAGTAGAAAATAATCGATAAAATCATTTTTGGGTTTTAGATCTTTAATAATTTACAGATTTAATAAAAATCTGTTTATAATTACATGACGGTGTGGTGGAACCACAATAAGAAAATAAAAAATAATAAATTATGAGAATAAAGTTGAAATAATGCGAGAATAACGTCAAAGGAATGAATATAACAAATACAATAAAAATTAAAGTGAGGGTTTTACTTAGAATAAAGTAATATTTTATTAAGAATAAGTCATAATGAAGATGACATCATGACTTTATTCCCTTATGAGTTTATTCATGAAATGTTCAGACTTTATTCTTGTAATTTCATTTTTGTATGGTCCTAATACTCTTGTATAATTACTGAGTAGATAAAAAATATAAAGAAAATCCCGATAAACTAATTCTTGTAACTTCAGTTTAATAAATTTTAATCAGTTGTTTCAGTTTCCAAAAAGTTAGTACACCTCTGTTTCAAAGCTCCTCTGCAGAAATGTTTCCTCCATGTGAAACCGTGGGTCTTCCCTCCAGACCCGGGAAGATGAACGGGACGTTTACGGTCCTCCGGCGCCGTCAGGGAGCCGATTGGACCCGGATTGGTTCGGTTGTACAGGGGAGTCTCTTTAGCGCTCGTAATCGTTTTATGGCCCTTTGCACCGGCTGATGTCTGCGCCGCTCCCATAAAAAGTAATTGTATCAGCTTTGTGTGGCGGCTAATCGGCAGGCAGCCGCTAACGAGCATCGGAGGAGCTGCGGCGCGACGGCGGCTTGGGTTGCTGCTCGACTTTTACTGCAGGGACGTTTGGATGAAGAGGAACCTTCAGTCAGAGGGAGGAGTTTAGTTTCAGGAGCTTAAAGGTTTAATAATAACCTAATAACATACTTTATTAAATTGTTAAATTAATTTTTATTAAATTGAAATCTTTATTGTATAAATGATAAAAATGTATAAATCTTTATAAATTTTTATTTAAATTAAATAAAATTTTAATTTCTTGGTTTCCACTGATATTTCTGTACATCCAATAAAAAACAAAAAAAAATTCTCACTGTCTGAAGTTAAATCAGACCAAATTTCTCTTAGTCACCAAAATTATTTACATTTTTCAAATCCAACAAAACTTTTTGAGAACATTTTTTTCTTTTAGGGTTTCATTTTTCTTTGTAACTCACCATAAATTTGAACGTTTACATACAAATTGTCTTTCAAAGTGAATAATTTGGGTCAAACCTTTTGGTCTAATTTAACTTCAGACAGTGGGTAACCTGGTCTAATCGGACCATTCAAGTTGTAATTTTTACTCAAACAGTAGTTTAAATTTATCATTAAAGTCTCCAAATTCATTATATTCCAAGTTAATATTTATAAAATGTAGCTTAGGAAGCTAAAATACGAAGCAGCAGTGCTAGCTGACACATTATTGGCTGTTGTTTGAGAAGCAGCCAATCGAGGAGCAGCATTAATTTTGCTTGGTTCTGATTGGCTGGACGATGGAGCGAGAAGATTCCAGAAGAATTGTAAATATGAGCTTCTGCTGCTAGTGATGCATATTAAGGCTTATTTGCTGTTTGAACTATTTTAATAGGCAGTTATACTTTTTCAAAAGGTTTGAATTTAAATAAATAGAAATAAACTTTAAAAATTTAAATAAGATGTATAAAAACTGTGAATCTACTGCATTTCAATTATGATCATTTAAAAAAAAGTTTTAAATTAGTGTGCACTTTTTTCTTGTGGGTTGAATTAAAAATACATTTGGTGAAAATTATGTTGGTTATAACTTGTCAAAATGATGAGTATTTTATTTATTTGTGTTTTTTCTGTGTCTTGTCCAGCAGAGTGCCAGTCAAACTGGCTGAAGGTGAAACACAACTGGTTTACCTTCACCAGTGGAGCGTTACAGCTTCAGCTGTGATTTTCCACTTAATATAGATAAATATGAAAAATTTTACTAGAAGTTGCTTTGGGTTTATTTCAGATGTGGTAGCTGGTAAAGAAAGGTGTGGGAAGAGGCTGTTAATCTGCTTCTACACCTGCAAACCGAGAGAAAAAACCCAAACATACAGATTATAAAGTAAAAAGGCCTTTTTGGTGCAGACATTCATAAATCTGAGTTGTAAAAACAGAAATGTGGGCCGATGATTCGTCTGTGGGGCGTTTGACCCCAGAAAATGGCCGCCCGCCACAGTGTCTGTTTCATTAACACCGACTAACATCCATGTCATCACCATAACCTGTCTCTGAGCCTGCAGCATGGTCTTCCTCCCCTCCCCTCCTCTTCCTCCCATCTCACCTGCCTGCCTGTGTCTCACCTTCACTCCGAGGAGCGGCGAATCCCGCCGGCTGACCGGTGAGTTTCAGAGGCGTGTAAAGGTCCAGCGTTTAATCCCATCTTTTTCATCATGAAATCATTTTCTCGGTCCGACGACCTTCCGGCCGGATCAGAGGTCGACGGGAAGGTCGCCAGTTTTCCGTCACAAAGCCGTTAATCTGAAACCGTGTCATTGTTCCCGCCGTGTGCATGAGGCGACACGGCTCATGTTTTCCTACATAATGTCACCTTTCATCAACTTATAAGAACCTTCTGACAGGAACATTATCAAGGTTTTAAATTTATTTAAACATTCAAACATCTTAGAGTTAAAAATATATATATTAAAGATACAAAAAGTGCCTTTAAGCAGCTAACTTTTAATTTTTTACACGTTTCTGTATTTAAAATGCAGCTTTTATTGGTCTAATGTAATATTCCAATTTTTGATGTAATGTTTTCATTTCCTGTAATTAAACAAACATTATTTAATTGGTAGAAAATGATTATTTATTGACATAGTATGTCGTAAAACACTATATTGAACTAAAAAAATTAATATCCTAATAAATTATGACTGCATATAAATATTGATATATTAATTCTATTCAGTAAATTACAATATAATTAGAATATAATTTTAAAGGTTATTGGATTTTTTTTGAGGTTTAAGTTTTTATTTTTGATATCAATGATTCAGGCTTGAAGTGAATGAAAACTTAAAATTCAGTTTCTCTGAAATAAATAAAAGGATTTAAAGTCAAATTTTCTCTTTACAGTATTATGCACTAAATCCCAGCATGAGATGACAATATTTTTTCCTTCCACTAAATTTTGAACCCTTCTAATGCACATCAACTTTTAACTTTTTTTTTTTAAAATTGACGATTGGAAATGAAGTTATTTTTACTATTTTATTCACTTCTTGTTCCACCAGCGCATCAATAAAATATCAATACATTTAAAAATATGATTAGATGCAGTAAATATTTGCAGTTTGTTGATATAAATCATATTTTTTCCAGTAATTGGCTTCCTGAAGAGAGCCATTATTCTGTTTGTGGCTGAATGCTGCAGTCAAACCTATTTATTACCTAAAAATAAATATGTCTTTTAATCACGATCTTCATCTGTGTTGCAGCTCTGGGAAAAATGGTAAAATGTCGTTTTGTCCTCTGCAGTCCAGCGCCAGCAGCAACGGTCCGGGCGGGTACAGCCAGCCGGGTCGGCACTCGGTGTCGGTGGAGGTCCAGATGCAGAAGCAGCGGCAGGAGGAGAGGGACTCGTTCGCCCAGGCGCAGCGGCAGTACAGCTCTCTCCCTCGGTGAGACGTTAGCGTTAGCATTAGCATGCTCCAGGTTTATAATAGTTTGGGGTTTTTCATTGCAGTTTAAAACAAGCTGAATTAGACAAAAGAGTAAAGGTGTGTTTGTTTTTATTAGTTAATATTGCTTTGTTTTTATTAAAGTAGTAGTTTTAGTCTTTTCTTACTTTTGTTCATTTTTACGAGCATTTTGATCATTTTTACATCAATTGTGATGAATATTTAGCAAAAGTTACCATTTTCAAAACATTTATTCAGTTATTGTTGAACATTTTGTGGACTAGCATAAACGGCGCCATTAGCCGTACGGAGTGCCATAACGTACCGACAGCTAACGTAAAAAATAAATCTGTCACATCGGTTCGAAAGTCAAATCGATTCATAAACACAAAAACAAAGGATGTTCCCCATGAGAATGCTTTCTCATATTCAGTTGTCGTTATTTTGTTTGTTTTTGTTTTCTGTAATGACCTCGGTGCTTTATCCTCAGATAGCGGCTGATTGTTAGCATTAGCATTAAATAGCAGCAGAAATCGAGTCAGAACCGGTCGGTTCCAACCCCTCGTTCATGTTTACAGCTTTGGTTGGAAGAAACAGACCTGGTCTCAGACGGATCTTTTCCTTTTTCCATAATCTAATTCCGGTTGATCTGTCAGATCTGCCGGTTCCAGGAAGCGCTGACGTGCTTATTATTTACGGTTCTTCTGGGCCAGCTGGCGGGTCGCAGGCCCTAAGGGGCCCGCTTCCACTGGGACCAGGTACCTGTTTACCTGTCGACCACTTGGTCCGGATTTATTTTCTGTCTTTCATTGATAT